GTCTTGCAGGACGTTTATTTTTGTCAATCTGCGCTCTAGGAGTCCTTGAGGTCTTTGGGGGTGGGGGCGGGGGGGGGGGGGCGGCTGCAGTGCCGCTCCCGGCCGTGTCCGCCAGGCGGCAACTGCGAGGCAGGGCCCGGCGGTCGGGGCGGGCTTGGAAGCGGTGCCCGCGGAGAGCGAGGCTGAATCCGAAAAATCGGTCCTAGAAACTGCTCAGAGACTTTTTATCTTTAAGCAGCAAGGTATTTGTTTATTCAACGTTGGGAGCAAGCCAGCTCACGCTGGACAAACTTGCTCAAAGGCTTCACACAAAATCAGCATTTTTATACAATCTTCAGATGTGATTAAATGCATATTCAAGTGATTACAACATCTATCTATGCATATTAATAATAGGCGGAGTATAGGTGGAGCTCAGGCGGGGCTTGGGGCGGTGCTTCTCTTGGCCCTCAATTTTGGTGGGTCTGGGGGCTTAAACTCATCTTCCTCAGCCTGACCCTTCTTCTCTTCCATTGTTCTTGAACCGCTCACTGAGGCTTGGAAAAAGCCCTGGCTCCCGGCCTATTTCTCCTATTCAAATGTCTACCTGATCCTGATGTATTTCTAATTTATTGCTTCTAGGCCTATTACATGTTCCTGTACTATTCTCTTAAGCTTTGGTCCAGTAAGTAGAACAGAACGAGCACAGATCGTCTTGGATGTTGGTAGCTTGTTAGCAGGCCCAAATTTCTTAGTTAACTCTTTTGGGCCTAGCCTCCTGTTTCAAGGCGCTGCCCGGGCCGGTGCCTGAAGCGCTTGGGGCCGCCGGGCAGGGCAGTGCCCGGCTGGCGGGTGCCCCGCAGAGAGAAGAGCTCGGCCCTGGGAAGGCAGGAAACTGGGCTCGAGCTGCTCTGGACTGCTGTGGGGATGGGTTTGAAGTTTTGGGATCGCTTGTTTCTGTCCCTACCTTCCCATTGAAAACAATAACTTAAGAAGTCCTCGTCTGGACTGCAGGAACCACAAAGCCTGAAGTTCCCGAAGCAGCAAGAGCAGCGACAGCAATGGCAAAGCTGCTGAGCAGGAGAAACCAAAGCGCTTAAAGGAACTTGCTGAGAATCAAGAAGCCAGACTTCAGCAAGTGACAGCCCTGAAAGGCCACGTGGAGCAGAAAAAACTCAGCGTTGGGAAATGAGGTGAGTTGCTGCTGGGGGAAAGTAGCCCATGATTTTTCACGAAATACAGTTCTTGGAACTCTGAAATTGCAGGTGATTTCGGTGACTCGCAGGACTTATTTACAGCATTCCAGGCAATGTTAATCAGAACCATTTCACATCTTGTGTTCGCCAAGAACACTCACGAATTACCTCAGACAAAATATACTTTCTTCCTTTATTTTAAAGTATGCCATGGAAGCACCCTATATTTGGAGCCTAACACGTCTGCTCTTTATTCCCAATGTGGGCTTTTCCCCTGCCTTGAATACCTTTGTGTACCACGGTAACTGTTTCCATCCTCGGTGTCAATACCCTGCCCATTTAGAGTGTTATTTTCTTGGCCTGTAGCAAAGCTTAGCCCAATAGCCAGGTTGCCTTTTATGCCAGAGGCGATTTAATGGCCACATATTTGGCGGCATCTTTCCTTCCTCGTTAGTGATGCCAGTCTGCCCAGGGTCAGGCTTGCTACAGTCCGACTTGGGTGCTTGTAGTTCAGCACAATGATGCCATGAGAAAGATTGATTTCAGACTTAATAGTGACACGTCTTCTGCCTAGCTTTTCATCCTCTCTCTCTCCGTATTGTGCAAAACTTGTTGCCAGCCTGCCTTGCATGAAAAGATATTGGTTTGTTAAGGGGAAATATAAATACGTTGTTTTAGTAGGAAGCCTCGTGCTTTCCATCGAGATAAAGCAAAGGAGGTTTTCTGTGGGGAGAATCTATTTTCTGTTTGGGTTCTACTGCACAAAATCAACATCAGTTTAGAGGCCTATAAGGATGCCTATAAGATCTTGGATCTTCAAGATCTTGGAGCACGTGACTCTATTTCCTGGCACTGTCCCCAAGAGATCTAGTCTTGGCACTGGCTGGAATTCTTATTGATTTCTCAGCCTTTTGTTCTGGGCTAGAACCGTTCTGGCAATGGGAGCAGCTGATGACAGGTGCTTGTAATAGACCCTAAAAAGCCCTCCCAGTCTGTGTTTAATGAAACAGCTTTAGTGTTTTGTTACTGGCTTCTTAGGGCTTAAAATGCAGAGTTTGAAATGATGCCTTGTGGTTGAGTGAGTGTCTTCCTGCTGAATTCAGCAGGCATTCGGTGAATTTGGGCTTCTGCAGGTGAATTCAGTCTGGTGTTGTGGTTTTGTTTGTTTCCGTACTTGGGACAGTGAACCAAATGTTCTTTTTCCCTCTCCGTCAGTGCTCTGAGGAGACCAAATGTCCAGAATGGTGCTGGTGACTTTGCTTGTGCGCCTGCCGGGCGGAGGAGCAGGTTTGGCTCTGTGCAGCCCTGCTCTGGAGGCTGGCAGGGTGCTCTCTGGGTGCCCTGCAGCACTGCCCTGGGAGCAGAGCAGCCCACGCTGGGCTGTTCCTCAGGGCAGCTCTTGTGCTCTCTCTCGTCCTTTGCAGCGGAGGAGGGGGACCAGCTGAAGAGCCTGTTGCAGCCGAAGCGGCGCGAGCTGGCACTGGATGTGCCGAAAGCAGAGGAACTGCCTGGGCTGCCAGAGATGCTGAGGAAGGGCTGACGAATTGGTGGTTACCACGACAACCTGTCACCTGTAGCTGAGCTCCACCCACTGTGTGTCCAAGGAGCTGCAGGTAATGGAAAACCAGCTTGTGACCCCCAACTCTTAAGGGCTTTAAAGACAATTGGGTCCTTTTCTGAGCTCGTTGGGAAGAAATGCCACTGCTCCCATTCCTGCCGGGCCCGTGTGGCTGCCTGCATGCTGAGGATGGAGGGGTGATTGTGCCGAGCTCGAGGGAAAGGGAGGAAGGAGCACACTGTGCATATCCCTTTCCTTTCTGCAAATTTGGAGACTAACCAATATTTTCACTGGAGAGAAGACATAACTTCACTTTTTCAATGGCTTTTCTCTTTGTAACTGATTCCCATCCCCTCTCCTGAAAGTTCATTTGTTTTTCTTTTCCTTGCTTTCCCCTCCTGCCCCACTGCTTGGTGAAATTTTTCAGCTGAGGAACAAAGTGAAGCAGGAGCAGAATGCCAGGCTGCAGCACCAGAGGGAGCATTGGAAGGAGCGCAGCTTGGAGGTGGCAGTGCTGGAGAAGCGTGTTAGTGAGCTGCCAGAGCGCCTGGGGAAGAGAAAGGCAGCTCTGTCCCAGGGAGAGAATGTACCGGTAAGTGTGAGAGATGTTCTAACAACAACATAAATTTTGTTACCTGGACAGTCTGAAGTAAAAACTTGCTTGTCGGGGAGTCTGTTCAGATGCTAGACCTGTTGTCTTGATCCATATGTAGTGGAAATCTTGTGTTATTAAAGTCCTTTTCATGGTACATTAGTGTTAACCTACTTACTCTTTACAGGCAAGAACTCTTCTTATGTTGTCATGGATTTTTTTTTAAGGTTTTTGTTGATTTTTTTTTTTTATTTGCTATTTCTACCTCAAGTTTATAATTTTTGTTATAATATATAATAAACCCTAATTATATAGTTATAATGCTTAAAGCTTTTTCAAAAAAGCCTCTAATATTGAGGTATCATTTGCTACTTGTTTTGTCCTTTGTGACTTCTGTTTCAAGCTCTGGACAGATACTGCGGCATAAAATTCTTTACATTTTCATCTTTTTTTTTTTTTCCCCAAGGGTTTCTTCAGATGGGAATTCACCACAGCCGGTGGCTTCTGCTCCAAGGGGAGTGGCAGCAGTAGGTCCTTCTATCCAGTCCTCTACTATGCCACGTATTGCTTCCAGACCTGAACTTTAGGTGAAAGCAGCATTCTCAGGTGGGACATGAGTCTTGCCAGGCAGCTGAGGGTCTGCTAAAATTACAAACTCTGCCCAACGTGGGAGCTGGGAACCGTTCACAAGCTAAAGCTCCTGCAGGTAAGAGCTTATGATTAATAGTTCTTATCCAGACATGTTTTGGTTCACCTAACTGCTCTGTTTTGGTGGTTTGGGGTTTTTTTTGTTTGTTTGTTTTTGAAGCAAAGAGTTACTTGCGATGTAAGTCTCACTACTTGCAATTATTTTTTTTTGTGCCAGTGAATACATTTATAAGCAGTGAGGTTATGCGGTTCAATGTTATAAATTAGGTAATTCTCTTAGTGAGCAACTGGAGTTGTTATACAGTGTGGACTGCAGAAGGATTTGTGTGTAAACTAATTATTTTTTTTATTTTAAAGCTCTCCTAAAAACTATACACCAGTGTGCGTTTGAGTTTCTAGAGTCAGTTTTGGGTCATACCTGGTAACAACCTGGTGCCTGGATTTAACAACTAGCAAAGCCAAGTTTTGTGATCATGCATTTTGGAAATGACACGTGTAAAGGATTTACCATTAGCATTGCAGGAAATATTGGAGGAGGCAGCTGATCGTAGCACAGAAATAGCAATAAAGTTACTGACTTGCTGCTGACTGAGGCTTGGCCTCTGCTACTTGGAGAGTTAATGGAGATTTGCTTGGCTTCTCCATGGGTTTCTTCTAAGAGAGACAGTTCAGTTCCATGAGAGAGAAGTGTGGAGAAAACTAGAGACTGTGCTCTTTTGGGAAAAGACTCACTTTTCACCTGGGAGGGAAGAGAAACTCTGATTTTTCTCAAAAGAAAAAATAGAGAGTGAGCTCGTTGTCGGCGGACAGAAATTGCGTCAACAATTTCTATTGCATTTCTGAGACCTTCACCTTGGCATGGCTGGGTGCAGACAGTAAAAAAATACTGCGCCACTAATATGGCTGCAGGCCTTGTGCCAAGGTGAAGGAGGAGTTGTTCTGGCAGGAAAACAAGTTTTATGGACACCTGCTGTTATCCAATTAGTACTGTATACCACAGTATGTTTTCCTTATGTATCCAATGTAACCTGGGGAAGAATCACATGTCTGTGTGTCACAGGCAGCATATAAGCTGTCTGTCCTCTAATAAAGCGGACATTTTTGCCAATCATATTGATTTGTGTGCATTTCTGTCTGACCCCCTCCGTCGATATCTGGAGCCCGTTTAACAGGGAGTCCTACTTCGTCGAGTTCTGCAGGGACGTAAAGGCGAACGGAAGGAGCTGAGGGAAGCGGTCGTGGGAGGTGATGCTGTCCCCGGCATCACAGAACAAAGCCATGCGCATGGTACAGAGGAATCTCACCCTGGCCCGGTGAGTCGACCGAGGGAGAGAGCAAGGGGCCCACGGCATCCAAAGAGGATGAGGCTGTGGAAACGCTCCTCCAATATATAATCTCTCTAGGAGAGCCTGTTTCTGATGAAAAAGCCCCTAAGGGGTTAATAGCGTGGGTGAGAGCGAAGAATCTACTTCCCACTGCTCACACCGCCTTTCAGGTGTCCACAAGGGACGCTATAAAGGAATTGTTTTGGGACGGGATCTCTACGGGATCAGGAGACGCTAGAAAGTGTACTCTGGTCTGGCGTCTGGCAGTTGAGTCGCTACAAGAGTTAAGTTCTGAGCGACGGGACCTCATAAATGTTCAAACAGCTCTGTCGGGGAATGGCGGGACTGTGGCGGGTCCCCGCCCCGATCGGTCCGCTGTAGGGGAGATCCCCGTGCTCGCGGCTGCGAAGTTGCGAATGCTAGGACCCTTACAAGCAGCGGTATCACCTCCGTTTGGCACCGTGTATGTGGCAGCAGAAAGTGTAGAGGCTGCAGGGAAATAAGTAGCGGCGGAAACTAACGCTGGAGCCGTGCCAACGGCACCGCTCTCTACTGCGGCTGCGCAGTCGGCAGTGTCGCTCCTCACTGTGCCCGCTACTGCGCATGTGTCAACTGGACCGACGCTGCTGGGAGCCTCCGCGTCCCGAGATGGCGCTGCATCGCTGGCGCCTGAAGCCACCATGGAACCCGGAAGACAGCCACTGTGAATCGCTGCCATGGCAACAGACGCTGTTTAAGGGGAAAAAAAAAATTAAAACCACACCGTTTCCAGGTATGCTACATATGAAAGAAAGTAGCAGCTATTGAGCCTTGCATTAGAAGATGCTATGTTAGCACAACGAGCAACACCGAAAAAGTGCCACTTCTCGTTGACAGGAGAGGCGGGCTAGAGAACTGCCTTTCCGTATTTTTGTTAACTCTCGTGTTAATTGTGTTGTGTGTCCAATGTTGTTGTGAGCTCACTGTATTACTAACGGTACCGTGCTAGTGCGTGTGTGGAGAAGCGACCATACGTTTGTTAGTAACTTAAAACCCAGAGGTGAGAGTCCGGGAGAATTTCCTCCCGTTAGAGTGTCTCGGGTACACATAAAAGCATAAAAATTCCCTTTAGGATTACTCAAACAGCTGCCAGAGTCCGGCGTGCGGGCGCTGGGGCCGCGCGCCAGGGCTGGGAGCCGAGCGCTGGGGCTGCCGCTGCGCCGAGCTCGGCCGTGGGGGAGGCGGCGCTGGCAGCCACGGCGAAAGGCGGCAGGGGCACCTCGGCGGCAGAGGCACCTCAGTGACAGAGGCAACGCCGACAGCTACTTCTGCAGAGCCAGCCAGACTTCTTCGGGGATCCTCGGGAGCTGCACGGCGCGCGGAGCGGCCCGGGGAACAGCAGCTCGGCGGTGACTGGCTTGCGGGGGAGTTGCCCCGCAGAATCCAGGCATGCCAGTAATTGGGAACAGAAAGCAGAATCTCTCTCTTTAGTCCTTCTACTCACTTGTAGATAACTTAAAACTAAAAGATTGTGTTTTGCTAAAAGTTAGCATGCAAGAAATTGTAAGAGTTTCCCAGAGAATGAATCTTTATATAAAAGCTTTAGTGAATTGCCTTGTTTTTAGTTACATTTTACCCCTGTAAAGACCTTCTGCCCAAATTTCGTGTTCAGCCTTAGCAGGAGGAGACGTAAGGTTCACACAATAGAGATCATTTGTTGCTTAGCAACTGGGTGGGACTCAAACCACCTCCAGCAGTTTCTCAGAACTACGGAGAGAGTAGAACTTATACACCAAAAACTACAAATCTGCAAATAGGATAAATGGAAAGCTAGAAGGCTGAGGATTTCCTTAATTCTTAGGTAAAACATCTCTCTATCTTCCTGTTATAAACTGAGAAGTTATTGTGACAGTGGAAATCACATCTTTAGAATTGTGTTTAAGAAGGTTTACTCAGCTGATTTTAACATTTGGATGTTTAGTTTACATTCCTGTCTGATATTATTTCTTTTCCTTGGTCAAGCTTAGTGAATTCATTATTTTTTCCTTTTTTTTCTTCTGTGTTTATGACAGAGTTGCAACTTTGAGTTGCATTTCATGTACTGTTTAAGCAATTGTTAATATTCTATTTATAACATAGCAGCAAGTACATTTTTTTTTCAGATTTTAATATATATCTTCTGTCGTGGATTCGTACAGTATGTACAGAGCAGTTTGGTCAAACGAAACGTATTATACGTTTTTAAATGTTTTATAACTGCTGATATAGCATACAGCCTAATTGCTTTTCTAAAACCACTACTCAGGCACACACTATGCTGTGCAGTTTGACTTATCTCTCTTGGCACTGATGTTATGTCAACAGTTACACTACATGAATTTCAGATTCTTTTTAAAATAACCTAACAAGATGCAAAATGTGTGTATTTACTTTATACTGATAAAAGAGCAGATTGCTAAATTACACTTTTCCAAAGCCATTGATGCGTGAATTAGAACTTTTTATACCCCTTTGATTTATAAAGCAGAAATGTCTGGAGACCACATGATAATCTGTCAGGAAATCAGTAGAGATTGCAATAAAGCTGAGTTACTAGAGTCAGGTTGAATTTAGTAAAATTTTTCTAGTTTGCCTCCCAATATAACGATCTCAAAGCTAGATTTAGTTAGCTTTACATTCAGGAAATTAATTAAAACCTGTGAGTGATTTAGGATTTTAATATAACAGGTGTGGTTTATACCTGTTCTGTGCTGTTGTTCCACAATTATGGAGTTACATGTTCTTACAACTAGTTATTTGTTTTCCTTTGTGCTGCTTATGTTGTGAATTTTGTTCTCTTACCGAAATTTCATAGGTAAAAGAACTAAAAATACGAGCAGATGATGTAGATCACATCTAAGGAACCGGCCGCAAGCTGGAATCTGGCCTTCTATATCCTTCTGAACTGCTCATGTAGCTTAAGACTGAGTATTAAACAGAATAATCAAACAGTATTTTTTCACTGTCATGGACTTAAATGTGCTAAATATATTGAAAAGTAAGTAAATTAACTTTTACGTAATTAATTTTTCCTTCCTTCTTGGAGTAGTGGGCAACATTTCTACGGTGTTCTGAAGAGAAGGACCTTTGTAGTTATATTTTTAATTTTGTAGTTATATTTTTAGTCTCCTGCTGAGATAGTGTTAATTATAATTTTGGAAAAAGAGAGAAAATGACACAAAATCTTTAATTTGATCCCAAGTGCAAGTGTATGGTCTATATTGAAAAGCCCTGGGATGTACCTGGTATTGTAATTGGTATGACTAACAATACCTCTCCTATGCCTTCAAATAATCCTTATTCATCTGGTTATATCACCAGTCAAAACTGTTCATTCTCAATCTGTCATTAGTAATTGTCATGAATAAGAGGAGCCCATCTGTGGCTCCGGTGAGCCTAGCTCAAGACTGAGAAGAGGATGCAACATACAGGAAATTAAAGAAACTGTTCTAATTGTTTTTATCATCTTTGTATTAATCAGAACAATAACTACAGCCATGCATTAACCATTCAATGCAGGCCATGGATCTTAAAGAACGAAATGCAATTCTTTCTTGTATAGCAGGCCTCTTGCCCTAATAGATCCCTGAATCTACTATTCCAGAGTTAAGGAAATCTCTGTCACCAACAAGGTGTTTCCACTTATTCTCTTTGTATGTGGTATTATATTGCTAGCAAGAAAGAATCGGAGTTGGAATCAAAACTTGCATTTTTCTCCGGCATAGAAAGTTATAATATGATTACATTTGTATTATGAATTTAGCCAAAATTTGGAAACAAACTCTCCTGAACTGTGTGCTGCCAAGTTGTTCTTGCAGCAGTATTAAAGGTAAAAGCTAAAGCTAAGCCCTGGCTTCAAGAAGTGAAGGACATATGTGATGCTGTGTGCAGAGTGTCTGCAATTGTGCTTGGTTTTGCCTCCTGGGATGGAGCAGACGTGTCACTAAGGGGAAAGGAAGACAATGGAAAACTATAGAACTTTTAACATCCTGAGGCCTAAGGGTTGTCGCTGCATACAACAATCTGTTTCTGTGCTGCTCATGTCACACCAGTGATGTTTGTGAAGATCAGGCAGACTGGTGTGGTTTGGGAACTCTACATCAGACATTAACTATTTTGCAGTGCTTGTATTTGTCTGTGTTTCATCTCAGTAGTGTTACAGTGGGTAGCAAGATTCATTTGGAGTCAGCATATGACAGAAACCTTTTGGCTTATGAGTCTTCCCAAGATTATACGTGATTGTGCATTAACAATTTTTGGGGTAAAATTCTATATCATATCCAAACTAGAAAAACTTTGAAAGGGTGAATTGCTTGTCCAGTTTGAAAAATACTACCAAGTTGCCAGACAATGCTATGTCTTTGGTATAGAGGTCAGTGATTTAGGAATTTGTAAAACACTTTTGCAAGACAGAAACGGGGAGAGAACAGGTGGCAACCCCCTCAATTCATTTGCAAAAGTTGTTT